TCGAGTTGCCGTCAAAATATGCATTAATGTGTTAGTGTGTGTGTGTGAGTGTGTGCGTGTGTGTGTTCCCTGCTGACACAGAACAACATCAACATGCAAACAGAAACAACATTGTTAACTGCCACATGAAGTTCAATATTTGCTCGCGCTAAACCGTAGATGTATTAACATAATGTGTCAGCACAAAAAGCACAGAATGTGAACTAGCACATACATATTTATTCACATATATATATATATATGTGATGTATGTGTATATGTATGTAAATATACAGGCATGCTTTCGACATATTTGTATTTGAGTCGAGGTCGCGAAAGCACATTGTAACTTGCCTAACATAATAATGGATTATTGAAACTAAACAAAGTCGTTCATATGTTTTATTATCTTTAAAATTGTATACATTTTAAGAATATGAACTTTAATTATTATCATTATTTTTCCATATATTTAGAATAATATATTCTTTTGTTCGGGTTCTAGTAGAATTTGGTCCATGCCCACTGTGCATTAACAGCATCGAGTTGTAAATGCCGCGCTAAACTTCTTGTCGTTGAAAAAAGAAATGAAAAAAATATGACGACAACTGTTAGGCAACGATCCAGAGGCAGCCATTTTTCCAGCCGAAAGATCCGAATTGGCACACAGCACCGGCTCCACTTCCTTTTCTGTCGCTGGCTCACTTCACCCGACTCCGGCTGCTATTTCGCTCCGTCCCTCAGCTTCAGCTGTCAGTTTGGTGCACATCGCACTTCCGCCGCTTAAGCAACGTTCAAGATACACAATGCGACAGACAGAGACGGAGAGAGGCATGTCACGTATGTTTGTGCCTAAGCATTCGCATAAGCATTCGGTTGCCATCGCTGTGGCACATCTCATATCCATTCAGCACTGCGGACAGAGAGACATACCTATACATTGGCATTGACGGGAGCGTTCCCGTCGTTTGTGTTAAATGTCAGCGATGGTGATGGCACTGGCAGAGAGGCAGAGACAGTGGCAGTGGCAGAGGCAGTGGCAGTGGCAGAGGTCCCTTGGCTGGGGTCATAGCAATTGACCTTCCATTCATCAGAGCAACTGGCGCATATTGTTTACCAAGGCTCGCACAACCGTTAGAAAACTCTATTGATGTTTACAAAATTCATTTATTGATTACGGCACAAAAGTTTTGGGTTACTAAAACAACACGAGCGAAACATGAGTTTTGGGCATTCTCCCCGTTCGGGGTTGCTTGCTCTACTGTAATTATCCACTCAAATGAGGCTGAAAAAGCAGTTGAAGCACGAACTGTAACTCGCTCAGTTCCTTTTATCTGGTCCGCCTGCTAGCTGTAGTTAATGATGAGTAGACAGGAGTTTTCCATATGGCGACTTCCGTTTCATTTTTAAGCCTTTTCGCATGCCACCCAAAACACAAAACACAAAAAAAATAAATAAAAGACAACCAAGTAACTGTAAATAAGCAGGCTGCCGTGGAATGTGACAACGAAGATGACGACGACAACAACATCTTCTGCCTGGCAGTCGTTCGTCCTTTCGTTGAGGCAAATTTGTTTGGATGCTTTCGCCTTCACATTTTCGCGCCGCACAAAAGGCAACAAATGAATGACAAAAATATTTTGTAATGAAAGGACTTGAGAAATATAATAAATAATGACAAGTCCCCAAGCAAAGTGAAATGCAACCATGAGTAAGGCATTGCCCGCGACACATTCCTATAGTCCCCACTGCCACCTTCGACTCATTTCCCTCTCTTATTACAGACCCCCTCACATTTCCTTGCTGTGTGCTGATGTGCGTTTAAAGCACAATGACAATTAGAAAATCTTTGGCTCAGTATAAAAGGGTTTCCATCTTCTGTTTTCACAGTGCTCATTTCGAAATTTGTTCTTCCTTTTTTTTTGTTTTTTTTTTTTGTTGTCATTTCGCGTGAAAAATGAGCTGCAAGCCATCCGCTGAAAGATACAAGAAAAAAGAAAACAAAACTGGAAACTCTTTTCAACTGCATTTGAGCGTGCAAAAGATTTATGGTTGGGTTTTACTTTTCATTATCATTGCCTTTCGCAAATCACAATGATGATCCAATTGATGAGGAATCTGTGCAAAGTCGACTTCTTCATTTACTAATTGCTTTTGATACAGTTGGCAGATTTTCAGCTGAATACATGCATTACATTATATACTCAACCAAAACATCTGAAAATAACAAATGAAAATCTAATTGAGCTAACTTCAACCCATACAGCAAATTATTTATAATGTTTAAGCCTGACTAAATTCTAGATTTCCTAGATTTATAATTTCCATAAATTGTGGAAGCTAAACTGATTTTGCTTAAACGCTTGAGTTTGGCAAGTAAAAGTTTTGTATCTGTACAAATGAAAACAGATTTGAATAAAAATTATTTTGAATACAATTAACTTGTTTTGCAACACACAAAAATCACGTTTGTTTCTATCACAAAACACTTACTAACTTAATAAAAATAAACAACCAAAAAAAAAACCACATTCTAAAAACTAAATGACAACAAAAACACGCTCACTGCTTGAAGATACAAAAACCACATAAAATGTATAAAACTTTATGATCATTTTATGATGAAAGCCAAACAAAAACCCAAATTTAAATTGCATTAAAACACATGTAATTAAAGAGGAGCAAAATCTCAGGTGTTATTTTGTCCGTTTGATTAATAGAAAAGAACTATTTTTATAATTGTCACAACCGAGCTCCCACATGACGAATATTTGGAATTAGAAATTATGACAAAGTTATGACAGTGAAAACTTTAGAATCACCTCTATAATTTCTTTTTGTGCATTCTTAATGTAGAAAATCGGAGTATTTTTTCGAAGGAATTTCGGAACCATCACCAAGTCGACTTTAAATGCCGTTTTATTCCAGAGGTCAAACCTCATGACTACGAAGACCTGGTTTTTGGAAACCAGTGAAGTATGCCAAAACAAGACCAACAAGGAATGGCTTTTGAAAGTCGATTAAGTCTTGTCGAAGTGATTTCTGTGGAAATTGTAGCCCAATATCACTTAATAATGAGTACATTGTATGTCTGTAACTCCAAATTGCAGGACCGTACTTTTATTGCGGGGCTAGCTTTAATTGGTGAAGTTTGGTTTGTTAGGGCTGCTGGCGAAATTAATTAATGGCTTCAACTATGGCTGGCAATATGCCACCCGAAAAAGCGACACCCATCGAAAACTATAAATTCAATTTTGCTCTGCGTTTGCACAAATACGAAAGTAAACACATATATACTCGTATGCGCTAAAGACAAGGAAAATACTTCGAGCATTTGAAACGCTGGCGCTGCACAAGACATCCTGCAATAGAAGCAGTAAGGAGACTGAAAGGCCAAGTCAGCGAAGCCAAGTAACTTTTGCACAGCCTGAAAATCCTTTTTTAATTAAATTTTCTGTACATTTTGCAGTTTTTAGGTTTGAGTAGACAACGAACTCATCGCCTCATATATGTCAAGCGAGTCCTTTTACCCTCCTCTCTCTAGCTCTCTCTCCCTCTCTCTCTCTCTCTCTCTCTCTTTGTATTTCTCCCGCTGAGACTCTTCTCAGAGTTTGGTTCGTTGTCTGTGACTGTAACCGAAGACAAAGTTTTAGCCTGGCAGCGTTCTGGTTGCTTTCCTCGTTGTTGTTTTCTGTCAACTAAATCCAATTACATGCACACATGCTACACACACATGTTGAAATGTACATATATATATATCGTATAAGTACATATGAGTGTAGTTTTCACTTTGATTTTAGTCAACCGTCTCCTGCGGTTACCCCTTTCAGATCATAGTCGTGGCAAGATAATAATGCAATTGATAAGAGAATTGTGACTGCTACTTAAACAAAAGAGTTTCAAAAGTTTAATGGATTTGGAATTATTGCAATCCAACTCAATGTCATCAAGCAACAAAAATAATAAAAGAAAACATATTTTTCTCTGAGTGTAAAAGCACAATTATGTTAATTTACAAGAACAGAAACACAAAAGTTAAAATATTCCATTGCATTGGATTACATTATAAACTCATACTCTCTGCACTGTTGATCGGGAGACTCGAGAGATCATTGTGTTATCTCTACCCCGCTCTTTATAGTTGCTGCAGCTTATCAGCTCATTTGCTGGTCAAATTGGGGGTCACTAGCTAAGCCCATGAGCGGAGAGAGTTACTCACCCTCAATAGCTCATTAACTATATGGGCAAATATTCGTATACCCTGTAGCAGGCATACGATGAGTTTGTTTAAAAATGTGTAACGGGCAAAAGAAATAATTGTTATTCCTACACATGACTAACAGCCATTAATATATGACTACAACAAATGATAAGTTAAATATATTTCTTCTCTTGCTACAGCATATATCCCAGTCGTGTCTTTAACAAACTTAGCTACTTTCTGCGTTATCTGTGGCAATATAACCAGATGCTGCTCTTGGTAAAGTTGGAACAATTAAGCACAGACAAAGCACGCTTATCAAACCAAACTCTCCCTCCTGACCCTCTCCTTGTCTCCCACTCCCACTCTCTCTCTGTCTTGTCTATATGTAGCATTTATGAGCATGACGTGCATTTTCATGATGTGCTCAAACAGAGGGAGCATTTTATATTTTATTTATAAAAAAACAACCGCTTGTAATAATTCCAGTGCCGTGCATTGAATGCTGTCTCTCTCTCTCTCTCTCTCTCTATCTGTCTATCTCTATCTATCTCGGTTGCTCTGCCCTGCGTTTAGTAGCATTTTTGCCGTCGAGACTGTGTGACACTTGCGTCCGGTATGCGCTGACTTTGCTGGCGGAAATAAAATTAATTACAAAATGCACATATTTCGCTTATTGTTGATTTTTTTTCATTTAATGCTGACAACAATTCAATTGCAGACGGCCACCGAAGCGCTCACAGCGGGCGCCCTGACAGCAACAGCGACCGCGACAACAGCAACAGTTGCAGCCGTAACAGCAGCAGCAGCAGCAGCAGCAGCATCAGCATCAGTAGTGACAGGAACAGCAGCAACCGCAGCATCATCCACGTCCAACACAGAAATCGAACAGCTGCAGCAGGCGCTGCTCGACAAGCAAACACAGCTGTACGCATTGGAGACAGCCTGTCTGCGTGAATCGGAGCGCCAATTGGAGCTGGAGGATAGCGTGATTGCGTGGCAGGATAAGTACGATCGATTGTACGAGTCGCACAAGCGTGTCCAAAAAGTCAATCAGACCCTGGAGGATAAGATGCTCAAGCTCGTCGATCGCAACACAAATGAGCGGGCTCAGCTCACCAGTGATGTGGCCACGCTCAGCGTTCGATTGGCCCAGGCCAACTTCAACATTGCCAAGCTGCAAAGGGAAATTGTAAGTACAATCTTTAATGAACTATATATATATATTTATTCATCAAGATATAGTTTTCTTAAATATTTAATGATACTAAGTAATTCAACGCGCAAAAGTTGATTAAATGTGTATAATCTATTTATAAGTTGTTCCTAATTTTGTGTGTTAAATCGATTGTTCAATGAGTAATCAAAGTGTTTTCAAGCTACGTTTTATAACTGACTTGATTTTGAAAGAATATCTTAATGAATTGATCGATAAACCCTCAAACTATATTTATATATATTTCGTACACCTAGAATTCCACAAAAAAAAGAAATCGTTAGGTTAAAGCTGAAAAATGTGTTTAGATTTGCATATTTGATTCGGTTTTTATCCCCCATTACTTATGTTACAAGTAGAAAATAAATGTGTGGCAATATCCGTAAGGATGCATTTCTCATTCTTTGTCAATTAGTGCAGTGTACAAAAAGCTTTTACACTTTTCAACAAGAGGCACGAGTTTGGCTTACGCTCAGCTCCCGTAAGGCTAGTCAACTAATTGGCAGCCAACTTTTTGGGGTGGTTTGGGCTGCATCATTTTGATAGCTGGCTGTAACTTTAAGCCGCTGAAAGTCGCTTAGTAGAGCTAAACAAATGCAAGGCGCCAAAGCGTTAAAAACTAGAAACTTTTCCAATTCACTTTGTTTTCTGCATTATTTTTTTATTATTTTTATTTGCTTTAACAAGCTTTTGTATAAATTTTTTGAAAAATATCTACGCGAAAAGTTTTCAATTAAGGCGAACAGTAAAATGCCATCGGGCCGAAATGCACTCCAGCTTTCAAGGGGAAATGAATGAGGTGATGGGCTGGGAGAAGCCTCTAGGAAGCCTTTTAACGCACTTTACTGCATCTAAGCTGGTTGACTGTCGAGGTGTTTCGTCCGGGCTATCGGCCATGTTGCCCACAATTAGTTACCCAAGGGAATCGAGAAAGTTAAGGCAACGGTTAATGTTGCAAACAAAGATGGGGACAGACAATCGCAACAAAAAACAAACCCAAGGCGTTAGATTTATTAACTTCTGCTATTGTCCTTTGGCCAAAGTATTTGCGAAAAGTAATACTTAAAGCGAGAATTTCCACCTGGGTCCATTGTACTTTTTGGCCAGCTTTTGCATTTGTTTAACAGCTGCGAATGCATTGGGTATTTTAAGCAGTATCCTGAATAAACAATGGGTCTACTCGATGTGTGCGCTAATTTTGTTACATCTCAGTCAGCTGTCATATTTATTTTTGTCACATCTGCAGGACCATAAGATGTCAGCTGTTATCATACTTATTGTGCTTACTGTAATAGCCCATATGAGCATAGTATTATTGCCTTTTGACTTTACCAAATCGATGGACTACAGCTTGTGGGCAGCTGAAATGACGTGGATTTATTTCGTTTCTTGGCAAGCGTGTATGGATTTTCGCTGATTGCAGTTTATGCTTTACTGTTGGTTTTCGGTTTGTTTTCTTTCTTTCTTTTTATTGTTGTTTTCGTCGTCTGCCCGCTGTTTCGTTTGAGTTTGGGGGGTACTGCCGACAATGTCAATAACCTTTTGCCGCTTACATGCTTTCCTCCCACCCACTTGGCCGGATGAAAAATCAGCACTTGGTCATGGACTGTCGCTGCGTCACGTGCCACAGCGAATTCTCTCTCTCTCTCTCTCTCTCTCTCTCTCTCTCTCTGTATCTTTGCAGCCATCTCTTTTTGGCTCTCTGTGTAGTATACGGCATCCTGCTTACGCTATCTGCATCCTGTATACCTTTGGCATGCCTTGGCCATGGTTCGTTAATCTGGCGCTGGCTTTTTGCATGATAGCTTGGCATTTCCGTTGCAAAACACTTAGCCGTATGCCGTAGTCCGTACTCGGTAGTCCGTCGTACGTCGTACGCCCGTAGTTTGTGGGTCTGTGTCCTGTAATCGTTTGCCATCCTTGACTGTTGTTGTCGGCTGTTATTGTTTACTGCCAACGTTGTATGCAAAAGCGATTGCGTCCTCAAGCACTTGACTGTGTAATACCCTGGATTTCGTTGTGTTGGGTATTCTTTTGTATTCTAAAATGGAAAAGGTATACCTATGTTTTATGACTTAAATACTTATTGATAAAAATAATATATAAAATATAATTCTTGTTGGCGGAAGTATAACTTAAATTAGCATTTTTGGCATCTTAAATTATTAGAATATGCCAATTATTGGCTTATTTTAGTGGATAGATAATACTTAACTATTAAGCAATAAAATTCACTATTAAAACATATTTCAAATCGAAGTCAAAATTGATTTACTCGAAGCTTTCATCTACTGCAAAAAGAGTACATTCCTCTTTCTCTCCCTTGAGCTAATGGGTATGGTTTCACTGGCTGTTATGCCACATCCTCTCTCTGGCTCGTTCGAATATTTGAACCGTTCATGCTACACCACAATTTGATGCAGATGCCGTAGCCAGGGCGTCATCCATTGAAATTCCCACTTGCATTAAATGCCGAGTAATTGTAAATATGATGCGGCATTCACAGGTTCCCCGAGCGCTGCAATTGGAGCAGATAAAATGCAAAGCGGAGCGGAGCACACACAGTTCACGTGGCAATCGCTATACTGACTCCCAGCTGGCTTTGAGCCTTTAAGGTGTTGTATTCTTTGGTTTTTTGTTCTTTTTTTTTTGTTGTTTTTTTGTTTTCTAGCCCAAAAGAGTGTAATTAATGTTTCGTACCTGGCGGCAGGTGCTTTGAGTAATCGCGTTGTTCACTTCTCAACTCAAGACATTTTTAGTCCATTGTGAGTTCTACTTCAATGAGTTTTCGCCAAGAACTTTTGGAACCTCTTGTGCAACGGTGCGTATAAGTGATTGCATACTAGAACTGCTCCTGTTCGCCACAATTCGAGACGAATCCTCAAGTTTACTCTAGGCTTAGGCCACTGCTGTTGCTTCTGGCTGCTTGTTTTGGGCCTGTGTGCTTAATTTCTTAAAAGTTATTTACATATTTGCCTGATGTGGTTTGCCAACTAAGCGAAGGAGTCTTAGTTGTCGCTTGTGGGCATGTGGGTGTGACAGGATCTCTCCACCTTCTTGTTGACTGATGGTTTAAGAGTGCTGACAGGATGTTGGCCGGGAATTTGAGAGCTGACGGGCAGAATGCTATTTTAGACAAACATTTTTGCGTCGAATTAGCTCAATCTAAGAATAGTCAAACAATGGAATGGATTCTAATTGAAATAAAACGTACTGTTCCTTCTGTGGCTTCAAACTTGAAATCTGATCTGTTTGCAGTTAACGGAAGTATATTAAGAACAATACTATCTTTATTACTTGCAATCATATATATAGAACTATTTGAAGATTTCATATTTATTCCATATAATCCTAAATATTTACCCGAGCCCGAGTTCTCAATACACTGCCCAGGAAGTTTATAAAGCCTCTCACCAATTCGCTATCATAAAAATCTGAACAATGTCGACGCTCGAAGCCGAAAACCCAATTAAACCAAAGCAAACAAATGTTGAACATTCAAAGCTCACCTAATCCCACTGAATGCGCCTTGTTTTTAATTTCCTTGCACAAACATTGAAATTTTTCCGGTTGCATGTCAAATGATGAAAAACAACAACAGAGTCGGAAAATATGTGGCCGAAATGCACGCAAAAAAAAAACAGAGAACTAAACTCAACCCTAGCAAAGTTGAAATATTCGAGAGAGGGAGAGAGAGAGAGAGAGAAGAGGAGTGTGTGAGAGAGAGGGAGAGAACAATTGTTCAATATTACAGCAATAACGGTGCGGAAAATCGGAACTCTGAGCTGATGTTCGCTTCACGATATGAATCGTTCATATTTTCCTGTTTGCCTTTTGCAGCTGGTGAAATAAAAAAATGTTGGGCAATCAGAGGAAAAAAATATTTTAAAATTTAAAAAAAAGATGAGAAGAAAATGAAAAAAAAAAGCGGTGCAAAATGAAAAAGCAGCTCAAGTAAATAAAACCAAGGCAACCATGCGGCACACACACACACAGCAACACACACACACACCAACTTACAGACACACACAACTTGATGTACATTCGACCAAAGTTCTGGTCTATAAATGTCTACCTATACGCACACATTTGCATATCGCAAACACATACAAACACACACACACACACAAAGACAAAGATAGATAGCGGCCATTGTTTTGTGGCTCCACTTTTTTTTTTATTATGCTACAGTCTTTACTCGCTAAGGATATAATGACTGTGTTATTTACTATGTAACGCCTGGGGAAAAATGACTTTGATGTCCCATGGCTTAACATATCCCTTTCCAGCTCGATTCGGTTGCGTTTTATTGGTGTGATAACTTTTTTTATTGACCATCACTGCGTTTTGACATTGCAAATAAAAAAAAGTTGGAAACATGTTTGAAAAAAATTGTGTCTTTATGGTTATATTTGTCCTTAAAAAACCACTAAAAATAAAATATAAATAATAATTCTACTTGAAAAAGTTGTTAGAGTATTCGCAATTCGTTGGTGTCATTTCAACTGGTGCACTTTTTATGCCTTTTTCCCTTTTAAGTGGCAGACTGTTGCTTTTTTGGCTCCTTTGTTGGGGAAACGGACATGGGCGGCATTTCATTTCAGTCTAACAAATCGATATTTTAAGCATTTTAATGTCTGCGCCAAGCGCAAAATGTTGGCGCCAGCTTCACAGCACAGAGACCGTGACTGCGACCAGGGTTGAGTGTTCATGTACATGTCCATGCTCATGCCCGTTTCCGTATCCGTAGTCGTGTCCGCCTTAATCGTAGTACCTATATAAATATATATATATATATATATATATATATGCTACACTCTAATGATCCAAATAACCACCCAAAGCCTGGAAACATGTGCACCTCATATTTTTCTGCAATTAGCCTTAATTTAGTGTATCAATCATGATAAAAGCAACAGCAAAAATAAGGCGACTTCACTTATTTTTAGAGTGCTGCTCGAAACTGTTGAGCTTAA